TCGCCATTAGTGGTTTGTGGTTGTGTGGCACGTTTCTGCCTTATAAAACGCATTTTTACAAGCATATATCACACTTGTATAAGCTTGTATAAGACGCTTATATTGTAATCACAATGTAGGTGTCTTATATACTACGTGTTACTTTATCAGAAGGGCTATCGAGTGCTTATAACCGAAAGCACTTGAACTACATGCAAACATTGAATAATTGAGACCGATTACTCGAGAAGCAAAGCTGTTAAAACGAACCGTAAAGTAAGACCTGGCTTCCTGCCATATACCACTATGGTATGGTGACCATTATGATAGCCAAGTCATTATTACTTGGCTATCATCATATTTAAGGATATCAAATGCATTTAAAACTACACAAGTAACTTAAAGTCAATGAATAACACTGATGAATGAAGTTACGAACAAAAGCGGGGGAAAGCGCGGTGGAATACATCAGCAGCAAACATCATGTTTGGGTCTACCATGCACAATTTTGAGACCGTGGCACTCATTGATCTGACATAAAATAAACCGAAAACTGTTTCAGCATGTTACAGATTGATGTGGCACGTAGCGTTAGACATTTGATGGCGACAGCTCAAGCTGTTTTGCTGTTACGTTAAAACATCTGGGGCGAACACACATTTCGTTGCTGTGAGACATACAATAATCTGTGGGCGAGCAATTATCAGTTCAGTACTCATTGTTGTTGAAGAGACCCTTACTGGGTCCAAATCACCGGCGTCACTTGCCCACCTAATTCTCAAAAACTGGACCACGGATAGCTCGCAACAAAATAAATGTACCGCATCATATCTAAGTCTGCGGAATCAACGGGCGAATTGCAGTGGCAGCAACGGGAGAGCGGACACAGGCGGGTCACGTACCAGACATGGGCGGGTCATGTACCAGACATGGGCGGGTCATGTACCAGACATGGACGGGTCACGCACCAGACATGGGCAGGTCACGCACCAGACATGGGCAGGTCAAGTACCAGACATGGGCGGGTCACGTACCAGACACGGGCGGGTCACGTACCGCGTCGGCCGCTCGGATCCTGCGGCACGTCACCGCCAAGAGCGACGGCCAACAGACAAAGCGTCAGCTGCAGCGCGGATGGCCGCATGGTGTCGCAGCGCTGGTCGGGGACAGAGTGGTGCCCCGTGGAGCCGCCGCCGCCTGTTCCACCCGGGCTGACCAGCAGCCGGAGGCGCTCGGCGCCGTCCGAAACCGAACAGGCGCCCTGGCAGACGAGCCTTAACGATTGGGAATATGGGTGAAACCAGTGAGGAGGGGGGGGGGGGGGGGCTGGGGGCTGATGTTCCGCCCCCTCTTCCTAAAGTGATTCTGTTCCCGATGTGTCGCGCGGAATGCATGTGTTTCGCGTCTTTTCATTAAAAATGTCATTTTGAGGCCAGGTTGTCACCCCAGATTCCCGTTTCACCCGTCCAATCCAGATTTGTCCGCCCAGTGTCAGAGTCGTGGATACACCCATGATGGGCCTCTCGCAGTACAGTCCAGCGGTACGTGGAGTGGGCCTGGCTGTACCATCCCTGGTAATGGAGCTCCCACTATAACTTCGATGTCAGTTGTAGAGAAGCAATGGCCCCTCTCAGCACAACTGACAGAAAGCTAGAGCAGTGATGTTGCACCCTGTTTTCTGTGATGCGGATGGAACCTCCGCATTCCAAAACATCCATCAGGAAATGTCTGCGGGACTTCTACCCGGGTATGTTTTGACCTCATCCTGTATTCGGGAACTCTTTCCTGAATCCTGCGGATCGCGACGAATCTTAGCTTTACCATGCCAGTTGCGATCTGCGGTTACGGCCTGTTGCATATCCAGCTGTGCTTAACTGCCGTTAACATCCAGCTGCCAAATTTGGCAGCGCCGTCACAGTGCCACATTCGATCATGATCCCGGAAACGAAGACGTCATATAGACAATTTTTTTAACTGCTCGTCGCTGCCCACAATGTTCCCGCGAAAGAACAAAATTTTGAGTGGAGGGCTAACGACATGTACGTACACACTGAAACATAAGTTGCGTTTATCGAAGAGGAGATTTCAGGGCGGTCTCAAAACAAGCTGCTGGATTAAGGAATAAATGTATGAAAGCACCTGACCACCATATGCGAAGAGTTTAGCGGCGATGGAGTGAGATGGAAATTCACCACCGTGATTATCCGCTCCACGGAACAGCTAGTCCTCGGTACTTGAGTGCTTGGAAGTCGGCTCACAGCTTCATAAAGCAGGTGCTTCAACTTCCTCCGTTCGCCTGGGTCTCGTGTCGCTCCGAAGCGAGGGCTCTGTCCACCCCGCACTCTGTTGTGTTCACCGGCGGCCAGCATTCCTTCCGCGTAAACAGGTGCTTGAGCCGGTCAGCCGGCGCCCGCAGGCCGCTGCGGGACAGCAGAAGCGCTGACTCTGTTTACTGACTGCTGACTGTCTGCTCCTGCCTCGGGGGTGACCACGCTCTGGGCGCCGTGTCGCCGTCGTGCATCCTGAGCACGCGAAGTGAAATGTGCGTGAATCCATTTGCAGAGGACGCGGGCTAGCTGCGACAAGCTTGTCTACGCCTTGTCTCCACGCCGCGTCTTTGGCATGTAAGCTCACGGCAACTTGAATCAGCCATTCTTAATTTTTGTTCGTGTGCAAAGAACTGACAGGTACGTGCATGCTGAAACATAAGTCGAGTTTATCGAAGAGGAGATTTCAGGGCGGTCTCAAAACAAGCTGCTGGATTAATGAATAGCCACGCGGCGTGGCAACACGGGCGAGCAATCCGTCCCGTGCATGATGTACCCGCGGTGGTGCCAGATCGGCACTATGTGGCTTGCCCGTTCATAAGGAAGTGCAAAGCAATCACTTATATAGCATCATGATCATCACAAACGGGAAAGGCTCAGCCGACATCCACTGTACCCATTTCTGCACCACTTTTGTACGACTGAGGATAAGCAAACTATAACCCTGCACTAGCTATTTTAACATGATAACACATACGACACCAAAATTCAACTAACATCTTTTTTCTAAAGACATCACATCACAACCCGCTGCGCCCTTTCACGGGGGCAGGGGATTTCATTCCACATTCTACTCACATCACTAAATGTTTGCGAGCGCTCGTTGCACACCCGCCCATTTTCCGTCCTACGCACCGAGGTTATTGGTTTCCAAAGGAATGCATTTTGCGGTCTCCACGTCTACTTTCAATCTACGTGGAAACATCTATATATATATATTTATTGACAAATGTGCTTTATTTGCAATCATGCACCGATCGCGCAAACACATGTAGGGCAAGTCCGTCTAATGCAATAATCTATATAAAGCTATGATTTTTCTTCATATTTTGTATTGCAGTACATGGTAATGTACGGCAATTGTTGTTTCCATGCGCAAGGTATTCACCTGTATCCATACAATTACACCTAACTCTGTCTGTCAAACTACTTCCCATGTATTCCTCAAAAGTCTATAAGCTGCTCTAATATTTGGTTCGTGTTTACAATTACCAATGTGATCCACCTTGACTATAACGCCTTTAAATTTTACTATAGCGGTCGTAAGCTCTGCTCAAAATTGGTTAGCTACGACCTTAACGAGTTTGCGTGATGAGGTCAAGTTGCTGTCTCACACAAATCTGTGTTGAGCTTTGCCTTATTGAAAGAGCTGACGCCAGTCGGGATGATACTTGACTTCCTTAGCAGCCCAACTAACTTTCCACGAACTAATATGCACAGCATTGCCTACCATGGCGAAATCACCTTCAGCAATTGGACGACATAGACTAATGCGCTGTGCTACATCGATTGTGCAATAAACTAATCTGGAGGACGAGGCAGAGCTGTGAAAATGTATAGTAATTGGGTAGTAATATGGTTTTGATAATAATTGTCTTTACCCCAAGTGCCAAATGTCTCTTTTCCATTTTGTTCCATTCTGTATCTTTTGATCTTATTTAGCTTACTTGTAAAGTTGTCTCCAAAAGTCTATGCGTCATTGTTTGCAAATCCCATGCCTAGCATCTGTCATTTTGTAACCTATTCCATACTTATATCAGGACACAATGGTTGCTTCATCACTGCGTCTTTGCCTACCCAAAAATATTGTGTTTTTTCCAAAACTTTGACAAAATGATGAGAATTTCGCAGATGTAGCCGGGCCGGCACGACGAGAACACCGAGGTTTCAGGCGGACTATATTTCATGACTGCCCATCGCCAACACCGCGCCTCAACTCCTCGTGGACGCTGATGGGAAGACAACGAAACCTCGGAAATGGACAGACTAGACGAAGAACTAAACAGAATGGAAACCGACAGAACGGAGACTAAAACTAGCAATACAAAATTAATGCGTAAATAACATGGATTGACTAACACTAAATAAGACCTCAAGATAATAGCAAACTAAGTAACTCAACAAACGAGAAGCGAGCACTAAATCAAACTAGGCATGCAAACGATACACCGACTACACCCGACCCTGCTAACAAAAGAAAAGACATCACTATGCAATGTTCCGTCGCAGCGCACGATCGCAAATGCACGGCTGCAGAACACCGACGCGGAGCTCGGCCGCAGAACACCGACGCAAAGCTCGGCCGCAGAGCTCGCCCGCATACATCTCGGCAAAGAGCTCGGCCGCGGAGCACAGCCACGGAGCTCGTCCACGGAACCCGGCCGCGGACATCACGGCCACGGAGCTCGGCCGCGGAGCTCGGCCGCGGATAGCACTAACGCGGGCAGCACGGCCGCAAGCGACGACCCATCTGCGAACGCTAGGCAAAACACACGACATACGCAACACACGCAGCCCACAGTTCAGTGTAAGTTTACCCACATTGCACACAATCCTCGGGCCGCGTGCGATGTAGCTTTCAGCTTTACTAACTGGAACAACAAAGAACAGCTTCAGCTTGAGGCATGACTGGAGGACAGGGAAACAGGGTTCGTGAAGTCAGTGAGCAGTACTCCAATGACATGTCATGCCCATGTGCACTGTCCCGTGAACAGGACACACCAACCGGAAGCGTTGCACCGATAGGCCTGCGAAAACATTGCCAAACACGACACCAGAATAGCATCCAGACAGTACATTTTGTCCTGATATAGTTCCATTGCATTTCATCCATTTCCATTGCATTTCAGCCACATTTAGCCAAACTTAAGCAAATCTTAACTAACGACTTAACTCGGACAGTAGCGATCCAGTGGCCTAGAAGCTCTGTCAGAGCCCCGGAGGTCTGGCACAGGAGCGGGAGCCATCGGGGACCCATCAGGGACCGACACAGGAGCGGCCACGGGCCCATCAGGCACCAACACAGGTGCGGTCAGTGGTCCATCTCGACCATCCGGAGCAGAAACAACAGGAACATCAAGCACATCAGGGGTGTGCTCACACACATGTCCCTCCGGAACCGCAACGGCTAAATCCTGCACCTCTGACGGGACAGGCACCCCTGTGGAGAGAGGCGCCGGGCCACCCACAGCAGCAGCCGCGGTCACTGAATTCTCGCCGGCTGGAAATGTGTCACGAGCAAACGGCGACAGGTACGAGTCGCCATCCGGTGACGCGCCATCTGGTGGCTGGGGTGATCGGGGATGAAGGCTGATCTCCAGCCTCGGGGTCCGCAGATAAAGCCGAGCCAGGAATAGTCATGTCTGGGCCTGCGACAGCCACTGAGGGATCATCGGAACGAGCTTTCAGTTTATTGTGGTGAACAACGACAGACCCTTTCCCTCCCAACACCCTCACCCTGTAATTGACGTCAGACAAGCTTGGCCATAACCACGGCAGGCTTCCATGGCCTGACAAAGTTGTAGTAACTGGCATCGCTGAGCTGCACTCTTGAAAAGATACACCGCGTCACCAGCCTGAAAGTGGTACATGGTCAGCTTCTTGTCGAGCCATCTCTTGTTGCGCGCATGACGCTTGTTTGAGGCCCGCAGCGCAAACTTGTGAGACAGTTTGATCCGCTGTGTGAGTCTGGACAGATTCTCAGAAATCGTGGCACATTTGGGACAGCAGATGATGCTTGGAATTGCACCGCAGCTGGTAGCCTAGGATTTCTGCCAAACATCAGGTAGTATGGAGAGCGTCCCAGTGAAGAATGCACCTTGGCTCTGTATGCGAGCATGAGCAGAGGCAGGTGAGCGTCCCAGTCGCCATGGTTCCCGTCCAAGTACTTTGCCAGCACGTCCAGTATCGTTCGCATCATTCTCTCACCCTTTGAATTCTCCTCAGGATGGAAAGCAGAGCAATGCGTTTTCTTAATGCCCAGCAATCGACAAACCTCGGGCAGAAACGTGCCAGACAGCATCGCAACATTGTCTGAATGAATGCGGCGAGGGCATCCGAAACGCGTGATAAATTGGTTGACAATCACACCAGCAACAGTGGCGGCAGTCATGTCGGGGACCGGAAGCACTTCACACCAGCGAGTAAAATGATCACAGATCACCAAACGATGCTTGTTCCCACGGCCCGTCGTGGGCAGGCCACAAAGAAAATCGATAGACACAGTCGCAAAAGGTTCATGATCATCAAAAAGAGCCCTGTGGCTATTAATGATCTGGTAGCAAGGAAAATAATCCATGTATGCCGAAATCTTATATTCTGTACCTCCCATTGTCACCACTCGTATTGAGTCATATAGTTAAACCCTCTCAAGCAATACCCCTATGGCCAATAACAAAGTGAATGAGCATAAAGGACCTCTCTGTCTACAGGATATTTGCTGCGCAAAGCTGTCGAGGATATGTCCCTGGTTGACAATCCGAGTAAACAAGCCTACATATAGTGTACCGAACCATTTATTAAGTGACGCCAGAAAACTTTATCGTTGCAAAACCAGTTTTGTAAAACCCCAATTCACCCTATCAAATGCATCTTGAATATCAAGGCTCAGGAAAGCAGAGTTATTGGTTTTAGTTAGGTATTTGCTAGCATCGTACGATAATCTAATATTCTCTCCTATAGATCTGTTTTTCATAAAAGTTGTTTGCTTCTCTCCGACTATTTCGGGAAGAATCACTTTTATACGATTTGCTTTCGTGGACACTTTTATCTTGTAACTAGAATTAAGCAATGTTATGGTCGGTACGAACCAATGCCGTCTCGGGTTTCTGAAGTTTCGGGATCAAGGTGAGGATCCTCTCTTGTACTGCTGATGGAAGTTTGCCGTTCTCGAAGCCTTCCGACGCCACACGAAAGAATAAATGTTCTAGCTCTTTCCAAAATACTTTGTAACCGTCGGGAAGCCGTCTGTGCCTGGAGCCTTATTATTATACGCAGCTCGCAATGTTTTTGTAATGTCAAGTATTAATTGAACCTATTCTGCATTTTTGTTCCCGATACCATAGATATTGGTTGAATTTGACCCCATACATTAAACAATGACTGCAGAAATGGGCTCCCTGCCACCAAAAACCCTTAAATATTCGCATTGCACATGCCTCCAAGTCATCAATATACAATTTTAAACTGGACCATC